TTTGTTGTTCCAGCCAGGCCTTGAGTAATGCTGGCTTACATTACCCTCAAGTGTAAAGTAACCTATTTTTGTTCAAAGAATCCAAATAAAGCACTTAAATACAAGGGGGTAAAGAAGACAGCAATATCAAATAATGCAAACAACAAAAAACAGGAAATGACACCTAAAAGAACTACACAGCAGGTGAAACCAAATACCTTAATCAAAAAGTATTAAAGAATATAAACACAACACAGACAGTACGTGAGTATCATTTTCAGTGTTATCTTTCCATTTTTGAGAGGCTGGCTTAGACTAGCCTGCATAAAATGGAAATGAAACACTGAAAGGCTGCAGAAGTTCAGTATATAGCTGCAACTTTCCAGTGTTACAATTTATTTTAGAATACATTGGACTGTCAATGTATATATTCTGTACAGACATCGCCTATCATCGTTTAAAACTTTGAGACTTATAACATATAAGTTTACCAAGAAACAAACACCTCCAAGAAAACAGAAAAGGCTGTAAGAAGCAGTTCCTCCCCGATCGAACTATATGTTGTGAGTCTCAAGGTTTTGAAGAGGCTTTGGTGACATATTTATGTATCTGTGCTTTTAGAACGCCACAACTGTATTATGCTATTTCAACTCAGTTACAATTTTGGGTCTGAACATGCAAATGCTAAAGGAGGCAGGTAACCTGACCTACAAAGACCCAAAACTTTCAAAACTGTAAGTCAACTTTATTTTGTCTCATGCAAATCCTTATTCACTGTATTGTCAGATAATGCATTCAATTTCTTTCTTGAAAAGTTACAGACGGTGCCTTTCTTGAGCTTTCTGAAGGGCCCAGAATCTTAAAGATGTTAATTACATTTATTGAAACAGAAATAAGAGTGAAAAGGTTTTGCCTGGCCATGAACCATAAAGGAGTACTGCATGGTCATAGGTGCAAGAGGACAACCCTTTGCTTAATTTCCAGCCCAAGACGCTCATGTGGGTGAGGGACAACCCAGTTTGCAAAGAGATAGCAAATACCATATGGTTAGTCTAAAGTGTTTTACAAAAACTGTTATAATCTGCAGCTAGCAGTGCTGATAGAGTGCAACAATGGGAGAAGCAAACATCTGGAAAAGGCTATCCTATACCTCAGTGGTTCTCTGTGGATCCCCAGACGTTTTGGCCTTCAACTCCCAGCAGTGGTTCACAGGTTGAGAACCACTGCTAGAACTGAATTCCTGCCCTACCTGTAACCACCTGCTCAACTCAGGACTGCTCCTTACCTTCTTTTCCAGGGACCACAGAATCAGCCAGGCTTGATGCAGATGGTGTTACTGAGGGAGACTTATTACTACTCCATTTGTCAGAGGAGGAAGACAGAGGTTGTGTCTGGGTCAAAGAGGGTTCTTCATCCAGAGAGCCACGGTCTGGAGTACTGCCTTGATTCAGCTGTGGAACATCACTTGACACCTGCATCACAACAAAGAGAAGATAGATTTTATTTCCAAAGACTATACAGGATACATCTTTCCAACAATTGTCCTTGCAGTTCCAAGTAAACCCCTTGAATAACTAGTGTTTCCCATTTGAGAAAGAAGCTTGTAGTAACCTACCTCACCATGTAAAGAGCTACATATGCTAAGACCTTCGGCAGCTTCCACTGCAGCCTTGGTCTCACTTGCTGGCCATGCCCAGAGACCATGGGCCTCCTCAGAGGGAAGAGAACAGGTCAAGGAGCCTTCCGTTTTGCTGCTGCTTTCACACCTTTCTTCTGTCAAGGTGCTTTCATGTGTTACTGAAGGACTGGGCCCCCCCACTGGCCCATGTAGGCGGCTGATAGAAACATAGTAGAAATCATTCCCCTCAGCATTGAGCACATAACCAGGTATGGTCATTCTCTGGAACTCCTGCAACAGAATAAAGGAGTCGAAGTGGCAATAAGTAAGCAAAAAGTGTATATTTTTTGCTTGAAGTAATCTTTGGTTGTTGCTTATGATGTCTGTTTTATTATTGTTATAATACCATTTTATGTTATCTTACACTGTTGCTATATTTTTATATGCTATGTTTTTAATTGGGCTTGGTCCCTTGTAAGCTGCCTCGAGTCTCTTCGGGGAGATGGAGGCGGGGTATAAAAATAAAGTTGTTGTTGTTGTTATTTTATAGTTGTAAAGCAAGAAAGAGTAGTATTTCTTGAGAGGGGGGCTAGTTATAGGGATCTGGGTGCTGAATAAGGGTTATGGGCAACAAAAAGCTGATGTTTTTATTTTTTAAAAGTAAAGAATGCGAAATGATGAAGAAGAAACACTCACTTACCTCACGAAACCTTTCCAGTGAATTCTCAGGACCAAACACAAACTGCAAAGGAACAGCCTCGCAGTGGCAGCTTGGGCGGCCTTGAGAACTGTAGACATGAGTAGCCACACGATTCAAAGTATCAACAGTAACTGGACTTGAATGGCGCAGTGCTGACACAATTTCATCATCCAAGAGCCAACGGATCTGAGATAGCAAAGATAATACACCATATGTGAAATAATAAAGGCTTGGCACAAAAATACAGAATAGATCCTACTGAGGGCCTGCTTCTAAGCACTCGTGTTCCAAGCCTCATTCTTGGCCAGGCCACATCCCAGAACTGATGGGTGAGATAACAAAGAAGAGAGGTGTCATGCAAGTTGTCAACTTCCTTAGGCTTACAGAAATTCAGCTGAAAGACGCAAATGGACTCACCTCTGTCATGGTAGCTTCAATGGCTTCTCTGTGTACTCCCGGAAGATTGGAGAGTGCTGGGTGCCTTGAAAAGAATGCAAGAATATAAGCATCAGATACACTGGTACATAATTGATTTAATGTGCTAACGAAGGCTTACATGGCCGGAATTACTGGGTTGGTTGCTGTGAGTTTTCTGGGCTGTATGGCCATGTTCCAGAAGCATTCTCTCCTGATGTTTCACCCACATCTATGGCAAGCAAGGTTTATATATCTGTGGAATGTCCAGGGTGGGAGAAAGAACTCTTGTCTGCTTGAGGCAGGTATGACTTTTGTAATTGGCCACCTTGATTAGCATTTAATGGGGAACATGAGAGAAGCCTTCTCACAGGATTACAAGACAGCTGGGTGTCCCCTGGGCAACGTCTTCGTAGACGGCTGATTCTTTCACTCCAGAAGCAACCAGAAGCGACTTGCAGCATGCAAACAATTAAGTAAAACAACCAACGGACCTTTTCAGGCAAACTCTGTTTTGTCTGTTTGTTAAAAAATTGTTACAATTGTCTGGTTGATACTGACACGATAGATAGATAAATAAATAAATAAATAAATAAGCATTTAATGGCTTTGCAGCTTCAAAGCCTAGCTGGTTGTTGCCTGGAGGAATCCTTTGTTGGGAGGTGTTAGCTGGCTGTGATTTATTCTTATCTGGAATTTCCCTGCTTTTTGAGTATTGCTCTTTATTTACTGTCCTGATTTTAGAGTTTTTTTAAAATACTGGTAGCCAGATGTTCATTTTCATGGTTTCCTCCTTTCTGTTTAAAGCTCTATTCTTTCCATTGGACCACTCTAAAAACCACCATGTCAGACTACACAGAGAAGCCATTGAAATCCAGAGGCATGTGGGTGAAACGTCAGGAGATAATGCTTCTGGAACATAGCTACACAGCCCAGAAAACTCACAGCAATCAACCCAATCATTGATTTAAACCATCCTTAAACATTCAAAAATAAACTTAATCAATACCCATTTATTTATTTATCATATCAGGAGCATATCAATGTATTTGAGAAATACCCATCATCCACTGCCAAAGGAATCCTGTCCAAGCTATGCATAAATTCCTCATCTGAGCGGAAGGATGAGGGCCGACCTGGGGAACGGTTGAAGGAGACACTGCTCTCAGATGTATATCTGGAAGAAGGAGAGAAAATACTCATTGGGATACATCCTCTCTTTTCAGTCTATTTTTACAAGCCATGGCTTCAGGAGGCTTAAAAATTACCCACCCACAGCCTACTTCCAATATTGGAGTCTCACCTATTGTGATGCAAATCGTTCTCCATTTCGATCTCCAAGGAAAGTGTAAGGACAAAGATATCCAGAGTCACACAGAGGTCAGAAAGATCAATTGTCTGGGGAGCTTTACAGTTCTCAAGGCAACCCAGCACCTCTCCTAGAAGAAGCAACAGATATTATTTGGATAGAAAACACTATTTTTGCCAACTTGCCCAATAACTTAGGAGGATTCGACCCCCACAACAGGATTCTATCCCTGCCTTTCCTTTGAGCATTTCAGTCTTGCAATCCATAGCAGTCTGTGCCCCCCAGCCAGGCATTCCCTCCCACGCCAAACCTCAAACTCATCTATTTCCATTTACCCAGGCAGGTAGGCAACGAGCGAACAGGCATGGAACTGTGCTGGTTGCGCAGCTTCACAGAGCAGGTCAAGTGCATAAAGAGAGGTGGCATATCTTGCTCTAGCAGCTCTTGTTCTGCCAAAGAATCTCCCAGGACACTGAAGGAGTCCTCATCCTGGTTAACAGTGTTGGACTCTGACAAGGAGTCGGTTTCTAGAAACTCGTGGTCCAACCGATCTCGGTATTCCACCTCCAATTCGGGGTCACTCTCAGTGCCAATGCAGCAGGCAGATGTATTTCCTATGTAAGAACACAGAGACTGAATTTTAAGCTGAAATCAAGGGAATAATGAGGCTTAGAGGAAAATGCATCAAGTCTCTGAGATACGTTTAGCCTGTAAATAGGTAAACATTTGCTTTGCATGTTATCAGAAGCAGTCAGACAGATGCACAAGGTTGGGAGAAATTGGAACACTGGAAAACTTACCAGTTAAAGTCCATTCTCACCAAGGAGCAATGAATGGGTTTACTCCTATCCCTGCCCAAGGTAGGCAAAACACCACTAGTTTAAAACTCAGCTAGTACTGCTGTTTGGTGGTGAAGAAGGTATGGCTTAAGTTCCATATCAAGACCTGATTGCAAAAATTCTAGATTATCGCTAATCTTTGATGTATGGAGATAAACATAATTTCTACAAGGCAACCTAAAAAGTCTTTCAAATTGTTTCATAGGTTTCCCCCTAGAGCAGTGGTTCCCAGCCTTTTTTTGACCAGGGACCACTCTCCAACATTAGAACCAAAAGGATTACAAATCAGTTTTTGGTCAACTTTAGAATCGGTTTGGTTATGTGGGATACTGATTCAGAAAATTGCATTGGATAGACTACATCAGCTCTAGTTTCTGATACAGAACATATGCCATCCAGTAGTCACCATCTGCTCACCCACAGAAAATCTATTTAATAAGCCTTGGTACTATAAGAGGGTTTTGCGAGACCAGCTGCTCTCATTGCAACAGTGTAGTAACAGTGAGGCCGTGGACCATATTTATTTCTTGCGGACCACTGGTGGTCCACAGACCACAGGTTGAGAACGACTGTTCTCAACCTAGAGAATAACAATAGCAGTCTTCTTTTAAGTAGGTGCTACAAGTTGACAAAATGGAGTCATTCTGGATTTGAATGAAAGACTTGATCTTGGCAGAGAAGGAACACAATGCTTAGCAAGGAAAGATGAAAGGGTGCTGCTAATTCTAGTTGATCCATATTGGAGACTGAGGCATTACAGGTGCCTGAGTGGAGAGAGCCAAAAAGTGGGAGAACCATAGCCTCAGTCTCCAGTGTGGATCTACTAGAATTAGCAGCGCCCTTTCATCTTTCCTTCCTAAGCATTGTGTGCATACAGCAGTGTTTTCTCAACCTCAGATGTTTTGACCTTTAACTCCCAGAAATCCTAACAGCTGGTAATCTGACTGGGATTTATGGGAGTTGTAGGTCAAAACCTCTGGGGACCCACAGGTTGAGAATCACTGGTATAGAGGAACAGAGGTAATGTACATAACACTGATTAGTTACCAGAAGCACTAAAAACTTTGCCATGTATGCATACTTTCTTTGACTAAAGTCCCTTTCAGAATACACAGGAGGAATCCTGTATCACTATATTATACACAATGCGGCATCATCACCAATAGTTATAGTAGTCCACAGCAGTTTGCATACCTTCATCAAGTGCCAGATCAGTTTCTGAACTTTCTACATCTTCATTGCCTTTCCCATCTGCATGGTCCCGTGAAGCCTCCTCCTGAACAGGGATGACAAGCCAATTGAGCAAAACATACAAAATCTAAATAGTCTGTCCTTCCCTTGTTTATGTCTTAACAGTCTTTAAGCCCCCCCCCCCCCCCAAGGCATGGAGTCAAAGATACAATCATAACTCCTTACCTCTTTTTTGGCAGAAGGAGGACAATAGAAGAAATAATGAGGATTAGATGGCACTGGTTTAAAATGCAAACTGCCAATCTCCAAGAACTTCTCCTAGAAGAGAATGGAGGACAGAGTTGTTAGAAATATTAAAAATTGACTAGGTATTTTAAATTACAAAAATGTGAGTTCAGTACAGAAAGGGTTAAATGGATGCAATGACTCAGCAAAAGCTGCAATTCAATATAAGCAGGTGTGCCTGTAGCTTAGAAGCCCTCAGTGTTAGAAGACCTCAGTATGAGGTAGGCCTCAGTGTTAGCTCGCCGCAGTGTGAGAGAGACATCAGTCTGAGAGAGTTCTCAATGTGAGAAGCCCTCAGTCTGAGAAAGCCCTCAGTGTTAGAAGTCCTCAGTATGTGGGAGGCCTCAGTGTGAGAAGCTTTGGTGTGAGAAGCCCTTGTGTGTGAAACTCAAGTGTGAAGGCTGTCACGTGTAAAGCTCCTGTGTAACTTCGGTGTGAAAAGAAGCTCTGTGAGAGTGAAGCTGTTTTAACTGCATGAGAAAGAAGGCTAGCATGGAAATAAAGAAGGAAACATAAATAATTTGTGTTATGGAAACCTTGTTCTTGTAAATAGTGCAACCATATTATTTTACCACAAAGAAAAGCCTCCTATGGAATAAATAACATTGGTCTGGGTGTTTTTAATCACTTTTGGCTACTGGTGATAGGTCACAGGGATGCTCTCTTATATATTTACGAGGAGGGTCTTTTGTTAATGAGCCCACTCGCCCAACAAGAGTGAAAGTGGTATATCTGGTAGTTATAAGCTTAATTTCTAAATGCATCTGAAAACAAGTGTTTTCACTCTTACCTGGATGATCCTATGCAGATCAGTGTGGCTTGGGCAGGGCTGGTTGCTATCTAGCAGTGAGAGTGGGAACTCTGGACAACAACTCTGGCCAGGCTCCTCGGAAGGGGAGGTATGAATCTGGGAATCTGGCTCACTGGACTCCTCTGTCTCAGCACTATACAATGATAAATATAAGAAAGATAAATCAGTCAAGAAGAATCCAAATGTTCCAATATCTATCTCAACAGCACCACATCTTCCTTCTGTTCCATTAGTAGCAACCCACATGCTCACTCTACCTCATAGTTTCAAAAAGTACCAGTGGATTAGAACTCATCATGGACAGTTAGATATAGAAACAGGTATCTCACAATATTTATTGGGACAGGTGTCTTCTAAAGAAGAGTCCATGATGAGAATCCTACACCAATCTAGGATTCCTCAAACAAATCTCAAAACCATCTCTCAAATGATGCAGAAGACTGTTCTGACTGAAAGACAGGAATGTAAAATCAGCTCTATTTAGCTCAAAGTGGGTGAAAGGTAACACAGGTCCAGAGTTCTGGATTATTAATATGGGGTATTATACTCTTCCTATCGAAGTTTTCTATGTAAGCCCATCCACAATGCTTACTTCATATATATATTATAACATTTGGAGCTGAAAAGAAAGTGCAAAGTCCCATTTAAGCTTTCTGAGGCTAATTTGATGGAGATTTAGTTCATTGATTTTTAGAAGAACTGGGTCATGAAGAGATTAAGAGGAGGATCAATGGATAAACCCCTTAAATACTGATCAATATGCACTTATTGATTTGGGCAAATGAAGACAAAAGGATGAAAATCTGCTGAAGGCTAATATAAATAGTGAAGGAAGTTGATTTTTTGCATTAGATAACAAAATTGCTCTGGGATTTTCTAATAAAGCTAATGCAGTAAAATAAATATATACTGTAGTTTAATGTGTTCATTACCACTTTGAAAATCAATTTGTATTGCTTATTATGTTGATTTACATACACTTGTAAATATAAACTTTGAAGTAGCAATATAGAGAAAACAAGCACTGATTATGTCTCACTCACTATTAAGTATTACGTATGGTATATCCTCAGTAATGAGAGATAGTGAAATCTATCTGACATTTGGGATTTTTAGTACTTTCCACCAAAACTCTCCAAATATTTTAAGTGTAGAAACTAAGTACCATTCTTACAGCTCAGGGGTCGTCAATTTAGGGGGTCAGGGTCTCAGTGCCACCCCTACAGGACCTTGGAAAGCTGCTCCAGGACCCACAAAAACTTGCTCCCAAATATGTCTAACACCCCGTAGGGAGAATGAGGACACATTCATCAAAATTTTGGCCCAGGAGAGTCTTTCTTCCATCAGGAATTGAAGCGTTAGTCAGTCTTCAGTTCACATCCTTTGGAAAAAGACATTCTCTGGGCCTAGGGCATCTCATAGGGCAGTGCCTCCCAACCTGTACTCCGTGGACCACCAGTGGTCCACAAAAACTAAAATATGGTGCACAGCCTCACCATTACTACACTGTTGCAACAAGAGCAACTGGTCTCATGAAACCCATTTATAGTGTCAAGGCTTATTAAATACGGTTTTCTGTGGGCGATCAGATGGTGACTACTGGATGGCATATGTTCTGTATCAGAAGCTAGAGCTGATGTGGTTTATGCAATGCAATTTTCTGAATCAGCACCCCAAATAACCAAACTGAATCTAAAATTGACCAAAAACTGATTTGTAACCCTTTGGGTACTAATGTTGGAGTGGTCCCTGGACAATGTGGTCCCTGGTCAAAAAAAGGTTGGGAACCACTGCCATAGGGAGAGGAAATTGTGAAGTTGCCTTCCACACACACCAAGAGAGCACATTCAGGATATTTTTCCCATAGCAGCATTGCATCCTGGAACTGCAGAAATATGGATACTGCAAGTTCACTGTACTCATTTGAAAGAAAGAGAGAAAAGATCCAATACAATAACCAGCAACTAAAATCCTATTTTCAAATGTTTTTGCAACCATTCCCAATGCTGTCGTTACCCTTGCTCTACATTTGCTGTGAATGTGTTATTCCATTCACCATTCAAATTTTTGAACATGCCTACACAACAATCTGCAACTTGGGACCTCTGCTGGAATCCAGGGGGACACAATTCTTAATAGGGTCCCCTTAGCTCAACATTGGGGTCATGAAAATTTTTGCAACAGTACGTTTCTGAATGCCACCTAGACATATACAAAAATCTGTTAGCAACAGCATGCAGCGCTCACAGTGGACTCCACAGAAAGTGCTACAGTTGTACTCCACAAAAAAGAAAATCAGCCTGTTTAGCACAATTTGCAAGTGCTGATTTATTATCAGTAAATGTTGGATTTTTATACCTATTGTATATACCTATAAACCTGGGATTGCATAAAAATAACTCAGTCTGAAAGGGGTTGTGAGTGGGAAAAGTTTAAGAAGCCTTATGTTTGAGGCTGTGTAAAGAGACGATCCAGGATAAAGTCATCCATTAGAACAAGCAACAACTGACGATACAGTCAGGAAGAAGAGTGGAAGTTCCATCAAGATGCAAAAACAATTTAATACAGGCTAGATTCCCCAGGACCTCATTCTTATCTCTTTATACACGATAATCTATATCCCACCTGGAAGAAGAGGCATCCTGAGTTTGGGAAGTTTGTACCACTTCTCCCTCCGATAGGTTGAGAGAGTGCTGGTGGTGCTCACAGAATGATTGCACATGGGTGCACAGGGTAAGCAGGAAGCTAGTGATGTCTATCTCCTGCAGAAGCTCCTCACAGTAATCCATGGCTATGAGTAGGTCAGGGCAGCTGATATTGTGACCCTGTTGCAGGCTCCTGAACAGTCCTATGGAGAATGAGATACACATGCCGTGTGGTCATACAGATGAAGCTAAGAAGATGTACTTAGTTTTCGACCTATGAATGCTATATGGCTTGGATCCGGGTTAGCTGAAGGACCTCGTCTCTTTTTATGAGCCTGTTAGAATACTAGAGGGCCTTCTCTCTGTCCCATCACTCTCTCAAGCTTTAGTATAAGCGAGGGAGAAGGCCTTTTAGTGGCTGCTCCCAGACTCTGGAAATCCCTATAGAGTACAGGATGGCCCTGTCTCTGCTTATCATTGGTAGTCAGACAAAAACATTCCTCTGCAATAGCATGTACAAACTGAGTAGAAGCTGGCTTCTGTGGATGGCACAATTGGGATTTTGGGGTAGATATAGAGTTTTAATGCATTTTGGTTAATGGTTTTAAAGACACAAATTATTAATGTTTGGTTTTTATATTAATATTTGAATGCATTTACATTCAATTAATTTGCATTGCGTCAAATTTATTGTTAGCCTCCTTGAGTCCTTACATTGGGAGAAAGGTGGGATGTACATAAAGTAAATAAATAACAACTATAAGCAACAGAAATGACACACCTTTATTTAAAACAAGAGAAAGTATCATAAGTTGGTTGAGACTCACTTTTACACCAAAAAGCCCCTTTAAAACAAGATCTTTTCCCACTTCTCCCTTCCAGGACATCTCTGTTCCTTACCTTTCACATAGCACTGATGGGAATGTTCTTGCAGCAAGGTGCAGTAACTCACCAGATCCTTGTGCTTGGGATCTAGCCAGGGAGCACTGGCAGGACGTTCTACAGACTGGCTTCTGAAAAACAGGTGCATCAAACAGAATGACAAAGAAAACAATAGCAAAATTCCTATAATTTAGAAAGTACCACCCAAGTGCTCTCTTCCAATCTTACACTAACCTACCCGTATATACTCAAGTATAAGCCGACCCAAATATAAGCTAAGGCACCTAATTTTACCGCAAAAAACTGGGAAAACGTATTGACTCGAATATAAGACAAGGGTGGGAAATGCAGCAGCTCCTGGTACATTTCAAAATAAAATAGATACCAATACAATTACATTAACTGAGGCATCAGTAGGTTAAAATATTTTTTTGAAAAATTTCATAAAGCTGTAATTTAAGTTAAGACTACCCAACTCTGATTAAACCGTTGTTCTAACCTTTTTCAATGTAAATGTGCTTACGTATCCTTCCAATAATAATAGAGTAAAATAATATATGTAATAATAATAGAGTAAAATAATGTATGTAAGAAATAGAGTAAAATAATAAATGTAATAAAATAATAGATTAAAATTGTAAATGTAATAATAATAATAATAATAATAGAGTAAAATAATAAATGTAATAAAACAATAATAAAAACAGAGTAAAATAACAAATAACTTTGACTCGAGTATAAGCCAAGGGGGCTTTTTCAGCCTAAAGAAAGGGCTCAAAAACTCAGATTATACTCAAGTATATACGGTATTTATTATCCCTACAGCACGGCCAGTGTCAAGTCAACTGTACACGGTCTTAACTCCATCTCAAAAACCAGCCTTTGCAATAAATAAATAAAATACAGTGATGCCAAGCTTTCTGTGTACTGCAAACTGACTTCACCTGAAAAATATATCTCGCAGAGGTTTATCTGGCCTGGGGCTGGTCACCTGCTCCCGAAGCAACTCCATAGAACAACTGTACACAAAGACAGGGCAGCGGGCACGGACACTGTCCCCCAACTCTGGCTGAGATGCCTGACGGCTGAAAGATATGCGTCCCTCTCTTCTTGGTGTAGTATCTGGATCTCGCATCTCCTGCCCAATCCCTGCAGATGAGATAATCCAGGGAATGGGAAACCAGCTCAACCACATAACCAAAATGAACCCTAACCCTTTCCCCCTGCCAAAATACTGATCTCAGTGTTTGAATGCTCTCTTAGCATGCTTCGTGCAAATCACAGATGAGGGCATTCTTAATAGCTTTTCCCAGGCTCTGAACCTTCTTCCTTGTTGTTCTTCCATCAGTAAATGGAGACCTTTTCATTCTGACAGGCATTTAGGAAGTTTCTTATAAGGAAGATGGTTTTAATAGTAAGTTGTACAGATTTGTTTAATGGATACATTCAAAAAAGCTTTTATTTATTCTTTGTATAGAAAATTTAATTATAATGTAACATTAACTCCTGGATTTTTGAAAACCCATATATATTTATATGCATTCATTTTAATTTTTACAAGCTGCTTTGAGTTCCTGTTTTGCCATAAAGATGGGATACAAAAAAAGCATTAAAATGATACGGATCTGAAAGATCTGACAGATGCAGGTTTTCTTCTGTCACCTTGCAGGAAGATGTGTCTAGCTACCATTAATTCCAGCTAGTGAATGAATTCTTGTGTCAGACAGAAAACTAGATAATGTCACTTTGAGAAGAAGTGTTATCTTGATAATGTCTGTTAAGCAGACAACGAATGACAGATTAGCATTCACTCTCACCATCAATTCAAGAGTGGGGAGAATTGGTAATTTGGGTCTTTCACATATATTAGGCCGAATTGGAGATTTGGCTCTTTCACAAATTTTAGGCCGAATTGGTAATTTGGGTCCCCCTTTCCCATATCTCCCCCTTCCAGTCACCACCTCAATGGGGGCCCTCTGCCCAGGACACATCCCTCCCCTAGCTTGTCTCTGCTCCTTATCTTCAAACCAAGGTCTGAGTGATGTTCCCTGATTTAATACATATTTGTTAACTACTGATCTCCCCTCCACACCTCCCTCCACCCTGCAAATGCAAATATAAAGTGCAAAGCATTCAGGGGCAGCATGGGTAAAATGGGAAGTCCATAGTTATATTATAAAGTGCAGGGCAGGCCTAAGATTATCACATTTAATAGATAAAATTCATAACTAATATATAAAGTGCAAATGGAGATCAGGTCTGGAAGTTAAGGGACTAAGGACCAGGCTTAGCAGCAGTGTCAATCGTAGCGGCAAGATATTAATAGCAGCAAGACAATGTCAATAAGGTTTATAATTGTATTGTTCTATCAATGGGTTTGTGGACTGAGTATTGTTTTAATGACTGTTATGATAATTTGGTTATAATTAATTGCTATTGTTTTAATTCTGTATGTATTTATGGTTTTATACTGTGTTATTGATTTGTGGCATCGAATTGCTTCCTTTGTTAGCTGCACTGAGTCGTCGTCCCCTCCCTGCCCCCCGGGGGAGGGGTTTGAGAAGGGCGGGGTAAAAATGCTGTAAATAAATAAATAAATAAATAAATAATAAAATGATAATGATGATGCTGGTCAAGATCCCTTGGTGCTGGTCAAGATCTCAATATGATATTACCACTGGGTATAACTTTGAAGCAACGATGGAATGATAAAGGGAATAGTCTCACTGGCTCAGGACCCAAAACAACTGCTCAACCAGGAGACCCATGGATGCTAACTGGCATCAGCTGGAGTCACAGTTATTTCTATCCCGCCCCAGTAAAATTAGTTCCCTTAATACAGCTACTGATAATCCCAATCCAGATTATTATAGTCCTTACTGTCACAGTAGCTGCAGGCTATGGGTTATGGGCCTAGAAAGGTGGAAAGATCTTGAAGGAAAAAAGCCTGGATGCTAGGGAGGCCTCTAAAGACGACGGTGGTGTCTGAGTGTGGCAGCAAGCAGCGCTAAGGCTGGAGGGCTCTCCCCCCCCGCCCCACACACGTTTTTTTGCCTGCCTCCCAGTTCAGCGAGGTGGCTCAGGCAGCTCAGGATGCTCCTCGACAACAGCGACGCACCAACACAGAGCACAAGGCTCTGTATTGATGCTTCATCTAACACAGAAGATTAACTACACTTGCAAATCAAGGGCCATACCATTGGCTGGTGTGACACTGACAGTTGGAAGTGACCCCACAGTCTCCAGTTGTTGTGTTCTCTGGGGAGGTGTTTGCTCTGCCTCCTTTGAAGGTTTATCTGGTCCATAAGCCAGCAATCTTGGTATGTCTGGAAAAGGAAGTCAATGTTAGGGCTGTGCATGCTATAACAGTGTCTGGCATTGAGCTGATACAATGCCTTAAGATTTGGGGGGAAATTACCCAGCTTGGCAGCAACAGGACTTCTAGAACAAGGAAATAACAATATGATATGGGCACACATTATAACTGGCCCTGCACATTTGTGGGTGTGGCTGTTGCAAATTTGATTATTCCTGGATTTGATTGAAAAAAAATCTTTTAGAATATTTAAGTCCTTCGGTGTAATTCTATGGTGAACTTCTGCCAAAGATTAGCCACAGAACCATACTGGAGGACTTAGAGATTCCTAGAAAGAACACCTTTGGGAATCTCTAGGTTCACCAATGAAATTCTATGGAAATATAGTGGAGGACCTAGAGATTTCTAGAGAGGCCATATCTCAAGTAAAAAAATGTAAAGGGTCAACTGTTGTTATTTTATTGTCAATGCACTTCAATTCATAAAATATTTAGCAATCAGTTCAGTTCACAAAAGCAGTTCCCTATGCTATACAGAATGAGAATTTGCTAGTAGAAGAATTCAACATCTTACTCTCTCATTTAACAAAAAAAACCTGTCAAATAAAAATTAAATTAAAAATAAGAAAAAGGCAGCTCTTAAAGACTGAGTGGAAGGCAGAACCCAATTAAAACAAACAAATATGTGCAAAGATGTGTGACTCCACAACTTATGCTAATGGCAGATTTCTGCTTTGCTTGGCAGAGTCCTATTTCATCATCAAAAACAGAGCCAGATCTACAGGAGATCTATGAACAACTGAAGGGGATCAGCAATAATTTCCAAGTGCTAGTTTAACAAAATATCTTAAAATTCTTCTATATATCTTAAATTATTCTACTGAAAATAATGCAAGCAACAAGGTAGAAAAAGTGTAATCTATGGCTGATGTTTTTAATTTGGAATTTTTTGGAAATAATTTCTGGGATTAATTTTTTTTTTTTTTTTTTACATTTAAAGTACACTCTGTACCAGTGTACTCCTGCTGGTGGATCTTGGGGCTTCTTTATAGAAAAAGAAGATTTCACAAGCCTGCAATCTGTCAGGCCCAGCTCAGCAGAAAACCACCCCTCTTGACTTAGGGATTCAGGTTCAACCACTACCATTTCCCTTAAAGCAGCTTTCTAATTATTTAAATTCCCCCTTACCTAGGAATGTAGCTGGCAGAAAGATGAGGAAAAGATGCTGTGAATTCACCAGCTTGGCATAACATCGCCACTGAGGGAAGATGGTGTCAGATGCTGATGCAGTATCACCTCTTGAAGTCTCTAAGGTGTCTGGAGCCTGAGATATTAAAGACAGCTTGATAATGATGTTGCTTTCATTGGGCACAACAATTTTGCTTTGCATCTTAATGAAGCAAGCAAAGCCGTGCCACGACATTTTGGTTTCAAAAGATAAACGAGTACCTTCAAGCATTCACGTACTCCATTACACTGGAGTGGGCAAGGTGTAGCCAATGGGTTACAGCAAGGCCCCACAGACTAGCTTCCTCCTTCACTGGGGCCAGTATCTTATTTGTGTCCACTGGATGTTTCTTTCCTGAAAACATTTTAATGACTAGAACTAATCCATGAACCATGATCTTAGTAACACTGCCCTAATCCATTCTGTACCTGTACAGCACATGCCCCTCATTTAATAGACTTATATCTCTCTTAGATTCCTTTTACATAAGGTTCTTGTATCTTTTTTCCCCAATGGGCTGTTCTCCCAGTGTTGCTACTTTCAGAAGCAAGGTCTATAGGGCAATCACACTGTGTTAACAGTGCTTACAAAATTAAAAGGCTATTCAGTGAGGCTTTCAAAGAAGGAGGTTTTTCAAGATCAAGTCCAGGGGTGTTGCGATTTCAGCTATGAATGGGTTTTAAATGGTTCTAAGTTTTTTAATTGTTTATTTTAAATATTTAATTATATTTTAATTTGCACAATTTTAGGTTTTAAATTGTACTGTATTGGTTTTATTGTGAGTCGCTTTGAGTCTAAGTAAATAAAAACCTAAGAATAAATAAATAAATAAAATTTTAGGTGGTTTCAGGGATGCTATTATTTTGGGAAACAAAGCAAATGTACTATAAGGAAAAATATCTGAGTTGCAAGTGGGTTCTCAAGCATGGAATTTGTGCCCAGATCTTCCAGATGTTGCTCACACTACCTTAGAACCAGTTCAGTGTATTACAGAAAACGTGCTGCTGTACCAAAGAGCCCCCAGTGTTGCAGCAGGTTAAACCGCTGAGCTGCTGAACTTGCTGACTGAAAGGTTGGCGGTTCGAAACCAGGGAGCGTGGTGAGCTCCCGCTGTTAGGCCCAGCTTCTGCCAACCAAGCAGTTCAAAAACATGCAAATATGAGTAGATCAATAGGTACTTCAGCGGGAAGGTAATGGTGTTTCATGCAGTCATGCCAACCACATGACCTTGGAGGTATCTACTTAGAAATTCTTCCGCTTAGAAATTGAGATGAGAACCATCCCTCGGAGTCACTACTAGACTTAATGTCAAGGGGAAACATTTATCTTTACTACCAAGAAAAAATGAGGTGTTTTCCTTCAGACTATGTAAAGATACATATCCATGATCAAGAGTCAGCATGTGAATGAACAGGCTTCTGTGTGTAATGTTTTGTACAGAACAGGCAAAGATAGCAGATCGTTCAGCCAATCTAAGAATTTAGAGGCATTTTATATTACCAAAAAAGTAGGAGGAGAGAGCAATTTTCTAAACAACAAATCAATAGGGAACCTTTGACAAACAGATAGCAAACTCAAAAGGTTATTGTACCAGGTGTATACTTGCATCTTTCTTTCCAACAGAGTTATAAATGTTTGCTGGATCTTGCTCTTCAGAGGGCATGGAAGACTTGGAGGGTTCTGCTGGAAGAGGAAAATGTGGTCAGAATACAAAGGGATGCTGCTAAGCCTTTGAGACTACACAAGATAAAGAAGACTGTAGCCAGTGGTTTACTAGGCTCAGTCTACTTCATCAGAGCCATGGAAGGAAGCACTTGGAGACCAACATTTATATCAATGGATGTGCATGCAAAAGAAGATTAAATGTTAAAGGAGAAAACAGAGCAAGTGTCTTTCTTACCTTGGACCACTGGGAGCACAAATGGGGGTGGGTGGCCATCTCTGTCCCGCTTCAGTACCTGCTCCATAAAAGCGATATGATCTGTGCCTGACAGTGTAATCTCTCTGTCACTGAGGTCATGCTGCAGACAGCCATGGAACAGACCAAGAAGCATTTCATTTGGCAATAAAGAAGATTCCTTTGTGGTCCCATCCTCCTCTGCCACAGAACAAAACACACCGATGTAAGCAATGACTTCTCTGGATACCCTTGGAAAACACACCAATTTACTATGTGCATCATTCCCACAGGTGCATGGGACAAAAGCAGAAAACGCTAACCAGCCTTTCTATGATAGCAAAAGAAATGGCTTTTGGAGGCGGTGGTTCCAAGTACTGTGAAAAGCATTGCCCTCTACACTTATGTCCCTTGTCCATCTCGGTTTAGTTGACAACCATGATGATAAGTTTCTAATAAGAGAGACACACCAAGGTTCATGGGCCATCTGATGTGGACATCTTGCATACTAAACACAGATTGGTAGATGGTTTGTGATTATTTGAAAGGAAGAAATATATACTCGATATGCACTCAGGTAGAACCCCTGGTGGCGCAACGGGTTAAACTGCTGAGCTGCTGAACTTGCTGACCAAAAGGTTGGCGGTTCAAATTCAGGGAGCAGAGTGAACTCCCGCTGTTAGGTCCAGTTCAAAAACATGAAAATATGAGGAGATCAATAGGTACCGCTTCTGAGGGAAGGTAACAGCATTCCATGCAGTCATGCTGGCCACATGACCTAGGAGTTGTTTACGGACAATGCTGGCTCTTCAGCTTAGAAATGGAGATGAGCACCACCCCTAAGAGTGGGATATGACTAGACTTAATGTCAGGGGAAGCCTTTACCTTTATCTTTACTATATGTACTCAGATACTCTTCATTACTGCTTTAAATACTCCCAAATCGAGAAAAAATATAACAGAAAACTGAAATTTAGGAACACCGTGACTTTTTCTTTAAAAAAGGTAAAATCTCAGGATCACTTGCCTCCTGTTAGCATCAGGAAAAACATTTCAATCTGCTGACATCTGGGCAGCAACTTCATTAGGTCAAAATGAAAAGGAATTTCATGCACTCTGTTGCCACTTCCAGCATCACGACCTGAAACAAAAACAGGACTGTAATCTTGAGAAGCCCAGAAGACTAACCCCACTCAGAAATGCCCAGAAAGCATCTAACTAAATAGTCACCTTCAACAGGAGCAGGCCGTGGACATGCAGGGAAGACCCAGTCCTTGTTTTGGCACAGCTGGCTGATATATTCAAAAGCAAGCATAGTATGGATGCACAACAGATCCCGAGGGTAAAGCTGGAATGTGGAAGCAAAATACAGGGCCATGTGGCTAGGCTACAAGGGTGCTATAGATATACTAATCAAGATGATACAGAACTGCAAGAATAAACAGGGTCCACCCATGGAAATATGGGCCATAGAAATACACCCTATTAATGTTTTGGAATCCAGAGAATCCCACAGTTAGAAAAAAATGCTCCTCCAGAGTCACAATCCAATAAAACACTTCCAGCAATTGGTTGCGGTAGCAATTGCATCATTTATTATACGAGTTAATATCAAAAACTTCTCAGCATCTTGTAAGATGCGTACAGACTGTTCTATCAGAGTCTGATGCCAGGCCAAGACATAGGGATGGCCACTGGCTGTCATGGAATTGACCTGAAAGATTGCCTTCTCAGCTGCCCAACACAGGCACATACCGCTTTTGGGATTTTCCGGTAAGGCAGGCCATCAAAGTGCCTCCAGATGTCCAGTGCACCATCCACACAGCCACTCTGTGGCTCTACCCAGCACTCTGTGACAATGTTCAACTCTGTGTCCACCTCAATGGCCTCCACCTCTGTGTCATTGTCATCATCTGTGGAGAAACTTAAAGGCAACCCATGTAATATGAATGTGATGAGCATGTCTGGATTCTATAAGCAATGCTCCTTAAAGCACCTCAATCATGGCATATTATTTACCTGCCTTCCCAACACATTAAAGGACCTGCAACTAAAATGCCCTAGAATGTCCGATCATATGTTTTTCTTGCCAGCCCAGGAAATGATACTGACAGGAAGCTCCGCTGAAGGCACAGAGAAGCTAATTCCTGAAATAGTCAAAAGGGAGGTAAAACTCCAAAGGGAATAATCAAATGTCATGCATAAAAGCATTGACTCTGCATGAGTTCTGAATTAATTGTTGACATAATTGCATCCATAAGTGAATATAAAAGTGCCATTTTGAGCTTAAGGCTCAAAATGGCACTTTTATATTCTTAGGCTAGATTACAAAAGAATGAAAACAATTTGATAAAAAAAATGCCTGGGCTTGTTGTCAACCCCACTCTAAATGGATCTTTCAGCTTGAAAAACACTTCACTTCCAGTCTATTTGTCCAAGAAAGATATCTAGAAACTCCCAAACAGCAGCAACCTTGCCTCTATGACAGTGAACAGAAACAATGGTTGCTACTCTACCCATTTCCTATCAAGGAAGTGATCCAAAGGGATTGCCTTCCCAATTGCCCACCATCCCAAGTTTCACAAGTCTCTAATCTCTCAAGAGTCCCTGTTCCTGGAGCTGCCTATATTGGCAGAACTTCTTCTCCTCACCTGTCTTTAGTAGAAGTGGAATGTGGAGGGAACAGCACATATTGGACAATACAGGTGGGCTTCTCACTGCCACTCACTCTTGAGGAATCACTCTGTTGAAAAATAAATTATAAGATTTGTTCTGCTTCTCTGATATCCTTCTCTCCAGAGATCACACTGTAATTCAAATACAAGGAGCAAATAGCTAAGCAATGCACTTTGCAGCCACCTAGTCACAACCACTTGTAGCAACTTCTCACTTACAAAAGCCAACAAGTTTTTACAGTGTAGGGTACAAAGAAAAAACTACTGGGAGCATCGCTGCCACTCACTCCCCACTTATGTGGGCAACAGACTTGACGTCATCAACTCCCTTCCACAGAAGTGATGGAAGAAATGCTACTGCCACTTGCAGAAATGGTGCAAACAGCACCAATGACTTTAGCAAGTTTTAAAATTTGGAAATTGGTTTTAAAAAGTCACAACTATGTATGTGACATGGATAAGGCTGTTAATAATAGTCTCCTGGGGGCTCCCATTCAAGGGTTGCTAGTGTTTATTCCAACTGGATGACATATAAGCATCATCATCATCACAAGAGAATGTGTTTTGACCTTTTGGGCATTAAATCAATGCTGAGCCTGGTGTACATCTTCTGATATGCTATCATAGAATTAAAACACTGCTTGGAAGCATGATAAATGCTGCATCAAAGATGAAAGCACAATGATCAAAACAAAAAAAGGAGAGCAAGGAAGGTTTACCTTAATGGGCAACTCGAGCACCATGTTGATAATCCCATCACCACTGGAAGCAAAATGGAAACCCTCAGACAGACGAACCCTGTGTAACCCAGAAGACAATTATATTTGGTTATTAGGCCTGTTGACCACCCTTGCCTGCTTGCTTCAGCCTAAAAAATATCTTTCCGACTCAACGTAAACCTTTCTTTCTAAACCAGGAACTCAAATTCCACCTTCTTACATTTATTTATCTTACGCTGACAAAGGCCACTGGTCCCCAGATAATGGAAAAAAAATGCTCAAATATGGCAACTATTCATTTCTGCAGCTACTACCTCTGTAAGCTCAAAGTTACCATTTGGAACAAGGTACTTACTCTGTGAGAGTGGACAAGAGTTGCGCTACAGCTGTGATGGGCACTGCAGGTACCAGCCCTGACTGCACACACCAGATCCAGCGCTGGTGGTAGAAGTAGCGAGACAAGGAGGCTAGAGTGGAGGAAGCTGTGCGGTTGGCCACCATAGTGAGAGAGCCTGACATTGTGGGATTCTCCAGGGGAAGGAGGCAAGGAACACAGTAGTCAGAGGGCAGCTTTTCATATCTATAAGGAGAAGAGAGATAGGGAGAAAATAATGAGTGAGGGGGCACCTGAACACCAGAAGACATTCAGAGGCTCTTTTAAGACACAACTGCATATTTCAACATGGTCTAATTCCACCATACAGCCTTTATAATGCTATTAGAATAATTTATTTATTTATTGCATTTATGCACCACTTTTCTCACCCGAGGTGACTCAAAGTGGTTCATAACATAATCAATGGCAAAATTCAATGCCTCACATGTATAAAAACATCACATATCAAATCAACAACATATGACAATACATCAAAACCAACATGTTCCCTTCCAGATGTTGCAGATATAGCTCTCATAATTCTTGATCTCTTGGGAAGGCTCTAGTTTGCTTTATTTTTAAGTAAAAGGAAAGATTTCGAAATCCACAAAACTCTAAGCAGGGAAGCTTTTGTTGTATCACATATTCCATAAACCTAAGTTTTTAAGTTACCCCAGGTCTCTATGTATGCAACTCACACACACGCTCTCTCTCATTCATATATGTTAATGCTTGGCTGATCCAGACCCAGAAAAGCTCCAAGGAAGTGCATTTGTGCACACAATTGTGAACACGGGTGCATTCCATCCTTAGTACCTGATGAGGAGCTTCTCCAGAGGCTTGTGAAGCACTATAAGGCAAGGTCTGTCTGAGAGAGTTGGCTGGACTCCAGGCACAGGAGGAGATTTTGATGGTGAGCTGCTGCCAATGACCTTCCTCTTCACCTTTGGAGTTGCCTCTTTGCTTTGTACCCTGTGTGGGAAGCGCAGCTGCAGGATACGATCTCTTAATTCTTCGACAATCTGTTAGATAAATGGGGATGCAAAAAAGACATCTATGTGGAAGCCTTTTGCATATAAACACAGTTGACAATAAATCTAAATCCCTGCTTGCTGTACCCATTCTCAGTCCCAGAATCCCTCAAACATGCCAGCCCACTCTTGCTACAAATATTAGTAAATGCACTCAAAGGTGGTTAAGAATATACTCTTGAAATACAGCAATAATTCCTGCAAGAAACCTTCTTTTGAAACTCCTGTATATGTGAAATATTGTTGTGGAAAGAGTAATATATCCTTTCATTTTAGCTTCCTCAACAAGAACTACCATTTCCTCATAAGTCTCTGAAGTATGTTTTTAAATGCCAATTTGTCACTGAAAGGGAAAAAGAGTGGGCCCTCCAGTTAATTTTATCTACTAGTTTCACAGGTCTAAAAAACAGATACTTTCAATCTATTAGTCCTAACTAGAGTGCACACAGATACATATGGGCAAGGCCTCTTACTGTGCAATACTGAAGCATTATTCCTGGTAACAGATCATAATTAAAGCAATGCTTTTGACATGCATTGACATTTGTTGGTTTTGCTGACTGCACATTATGACTAAAAAAAAAAGGAAATCTAGTACTTACTTCGTTCCTGACTTTTGCAAGTGTCCCAATGGGGAAACCCAGACGAAGAACCATACAGGGAGCTTTGGAAATTATGCGGACCACATAAAATGAAAAAGGAGGCTGATCCTCAGAGCTGCAGAAAAAGGGGACATCAGAGAGAAAGTAGAATGGCTTTACAGTGATCCTCAAGATAAGACCTGACAAAAATCACTCCACCACATCACACGTCCTCTCAGGAAAGAGAAATGTAAAATTCTTTGTTCATATGGTGATAATTCAATCAATGATACTTATCTATAGCTGGGAAACTCCATTCCAAAGATGGAGTCAAAATGGGATAGAAATACTATATACTAAAGCTCTTACTGCTCTTAATGTAGATGTGTTTACATATTATAACAAGGCGAAAGTCATGTTGGGAAACCATCAAATTGTATCATGTAGAAGGAAATGTGGGAAACCCAGACATTACACTGCCATCCAAGGAGTAGTGGAGTGGGTCCCTAGACCTAAGATTACTCTGGTTTTAGGAGCTGAGTAGAATTGTCTTGTTGACTATAGTAGAAAGATATTTTCTCTTCACAAGATTGCACCTTCCTAGACTCAAACAATTCAGAACCAACTGTTTCCCTACTCCTTTTCAGGTCTCTCACCTGCGCATGAGCTTGACATAAGAGTAGCCTTCCACCAGCACAAAACTACTCCAGTCACGCAGCAAAGAGGTCAGAGCCGAGTGTGAGATGCGGCACTGAATTGTGCTGTAGCGGCCATTGTTGCCGGGTGTGTGCAAATGTTTTGGCACTGGCCTGTGAAACACATGAAGCAATTATTATTCATTATTTATGCAACCACTACTATCCCCCAGTCCCAGGCAAAATTCATGTATAAGCCCTTTTCAGCTACAGAAATGCTACTAACAGGTTTACGGGGTCTACAACATTTGTAACCACTTAATAAGTCATGGAGCAGTGATGCAAATTTTGAGCTATCTGGATATACTTTCACAGCCATGAAACCGATAGCAACTTAGCCTTCACGTACATGTCGTGTTCCAATAGAATAACAATACGATGCATGTGCAGCCATCTTTGCCAGAAGTTGGCATCCATAGAGAGGATAGGCTTCCAATAGGCTGCAAATTGTGCGTGGCAGGAATCTGAGCTGCTATGCTGTAAAGACAGGACCTAGAAAGGGGGAAAATTGCATTTCCATCAGCATTTTTGCTTTTCCCTCTGCGGCAGAAGGCTGCATATTCTGCACTCAAAAAAAAAAAAAAAACCATTCTACGAAGTTAAGCAGAAGTCTGGTTACTTAATACTCAATATGGCTTGAGTTAATTCAGAGGAACAACCCAAGGAATGGCATAATACTGGAAAAGGCACAGCAACACTGGACCACTGCATGCAGTGCCTATCAAACAGGGAAAATATAATTAATGAAACAAGGCTAAAATCTATGATCCACCTATAAAACACCTATCTGTCTGGGTTGTTTTGTGTTTTCCGGGCTGTATGGCCATGCTCCAGAAGCATTTTTTCCTGACGTTTCACCTGCATTTAAGATATAGATGTAGGCGAAAGTCAGGAGAGAATGCTTCTGGAACATGGCCATACAGCCCGGAAAACACACAACAACCCAGTGACTCCGGCCATAAAAGCCTTCGACAATACCTGTCTGTCTTTCTTTCTTGTCAGATGGATTAAATATCTGGCTCTCTCATCCTTTGATAGCAACATACAGAGTGCAGTACAAGGCAGAGAGCACTCGATGCTTTTGGAAGATGAAAGACAACATTCCAGGAGCACAGTAACTAAATGTAGAATAAGAGCTGCATTTCCAATATTAAGGCAAGGCTAAGAAAGCTGAGAAAATACCGGTGTGGTAGATCCTGGAGGAATGTAGAAGAGTGGCACCCCATTTCTAGTGCTTTCTGGAATGGTGAAGTGTTCTGGGGCACTATCAAATGACTGAAGATGAACCAGCATCTGGTCAGTTTGGTTGATGCTGAAAAAAAAAAGATCACTGTCAATGGTTTTAAGAATAATTACATAGATGCTAAGCAGTCCAAATGAGTGCTGGCTTCCATTTGTAACTTCTTTCAAAGCAGTGCTGACTTTTTTGTTTAGTAGTAATTGGTCTTATGTCAGTTACTCTCCAGCACTGGTAATGGGAAAATAAAATGCTTAAGAACAACAGCCGGTAAGCAAAAGTTATGCACTAGTCAAACCTTTGGAAAGGATCCATAAGGTTCATCATCTTAACTTGTGGGACAAGTTCAAGTAAGTAAACTGTAGGTCAGACTTACCTTTGCAAAGTGTTCCAGAAGCGGCGTATCACAGTTGTACGATACAGGCTAGTGATGGGCTTACGCATTGTGCAGCTGATGTCATGCAAGATATCATAGCTTCCCTCCATAGTCACTTCCACCCACGTGCTGCGTTTTGAAGAGTCCAAAGGCCATGGGGCCACTGCCAGGTACTCAATTCTCATATTGTGCTTCCACAACAGGATAAGCTTAACTTCAAGCTGAGTGCCTCCTATATGTGCATAAGGGAATTGTACAGAAAGGATTGCCTTGTATACTGATATTGTTATATCATAGCTGCTAGGACAAAAGTGGAAATTGTGTAATCTCCAGATGTTTCTTGACTGCCAACCTGCTGCTAAGAGTTACAGTCCAGTGGCTGGTTGGTCCCACAGTTGCTATCCCTGTCCTAGGACCTCTGAAGACAGGCTATGTTTCATGGAGCTTTTATTGCTGAAGTACATTTGACAAGCCAAGGCTAGAATCCACTTGAATACCTCTCCGTGTTCCATATTAAGCCTGCACCAGTATCATAATATTTTGTACTAGTAGTATGGTGTCCTCTGCATATCCTCCTTCCTCAGAATCTAATTTTGGTTTGCATATGATAATAAAAATCTAGGAAGCCACAACTTGCTGATCCCTGTCAAAATATTCATGTTTTCTGGTCAAGTAAATGATTCCAGTTCATTTACATGTGCAATTTGCACAGCTGCAACAACCCACCCAGTGTCTCCCTAATAAAATAAGGCCACCATGCACACAATAATTTTATTTGTTTCATTGTTCAACACCATGAGATGACAACATGGTTTTGAAACTAAATATTTTCAAAATTATACAATCACACCGTAGAATGTATATGCATAATTAAGCTGCATTTGTATTCTACCACGTCCATCCTCTAGCTGTCAGACTGGTCTCTCACAGAAGCAGCACAAAAAAAAATTGAAAATACCAATAAATCTTTATCACTATTTCCCCAAGCATCTGACCAATTTTCCAAATTTTCCAGAAAGTGACAACCCCAACAAAGTCTCTATAGTAACAAGTTTGCTGATTTTCAACCTCTTGTCGCTTGTTGTAACGACTCCATTTCAGTTATATACAAAAAAAAAAAAAAAACCAGCAGAAATTTGGCTCTTGGCTTAGGTTTTTAAATGGCTAAAATCTTCATTGAAAAACCGTATCTCCCTGTACAAACCAGCACAAGAACTGCAGCCCATAGAGGAGGCTCTGCTCTCAGTCCCACCTCCATCTCAAGTGCAGTTGCTGGGAACGAGAGAGGAGACCTTCTCCATGGCCACTCCCCACCTCTGCAACACCCTCCCCAAAGAACTAAAAATGGTCCCCTCTCTCCTCTCCTTTGAAAAGCTTTTAAAGACCCATCTGTGTAGCCTAGCTTATGGAGAGGAGGACTAGCATATCTTACACACATTCTCACCCAGACATAGGACACCTATCTCAGCCTGATGATGCTTTGAACATATTGTGTTTAAKTGGTTTGACTTCTTATGTTTATGACATTTATTTAGTTTAACCCTTGGTTCTGATTGTTTACAAGTTTATTGAGTCTGTTTATTATGTTTTGCCTTGAGTGCTATTTAATTGGGGGGGGGGGGGTTGGCATTGAATGTTTGCCCTTTAAAGTTATTATTATTATTATTGTTGTTGTTGTTGTTGTTGTTATTATTATTTTAAGATAGGGGAAGTTTCCACAGAGAATGATTTCAAAAGGATTCAYATGGACCTCAATATTAATGCTGAGCTCTAAGAGTTTCTAGTACAGTCAGACTTCCAATCTTGTAAGGGTCTGTTATGGTTAGAGGATCTTTGAGAAAGTGAAAAAACACTTCTGCACCACCATATAAAATCCTAATTATCTGTTTTGAACTGGATTATATGGCAGTGTAGACTCATATAATACACTGGATTATATGGCAGTGTAGACTCATATAATCCAGTTCAAAGCAAATAATGTGAAATATCCGCTTTGATAATCTGGATTATATGGCAGTGTAGAAGGGGCCTCAGCCCCCTCTCCCAACCACATATAACATACTTGCAGGTTATCTAAGCCCAGAACTCGCTACTGTGTGTGTAACAGACTACCATTAGTTGTACATTATTATTAAATCTTATTACAATAAACAGTCAATGTACAATTGTACAGTTATTATGTCAATACCCAGAAGGCTGATTGTGAGCGATATCACACAGATGTCTCTATACAGATATACTAAAATGGGTAAAGAGAGCACTTTTAGGCATCTGTTACTTATGGGGGCACCATCAGACGAACAAGCGGAATAGAAAGACAAAAGCCACCTCACCCTTTGTGATATTGACTTCACGGATACTATATCCTTCTCGCAGCCGGACAGAGACTATACTGATAAGGTCAGCATGCACCTCTTTCTCTGTATGTTTCTTCCGCCTCATAGCCAGCGCAGGATTACTGCTTGCAGAAACAAGGTGTTCATTGAAAAGTCTGTGCTGGGACACTAAAACAATAATAAACAAATCATGTAAAAACTTTCACTACCACACCGTTCACTCATACTGCTAATAGGGCAGCTCTTGGACACATTTTAAAAAATCAACATTGCCCCTCCCCAAGAGCAGATTACACGGCTTAAAATTCCTAGCTTAGAATTAGTAACTCAGAGCAGAATTACACATTATCTTGATAGGATGTCTAAAATAGTTTGTGAGTGCAGGCCACAACTGTCAAAAAGTAAGCCACAGAAAAACCCTGACTCGATTCTGTGTAAAGGAATGATGGGGTTAACTTTTCCTGCTCTGCTATTTTCCTGCTGAACAACCCGCTACCCATTACATAGACACTTCAGTAATGGTTAGCAGGGACACTCTGGGACAGGAAAACAGGATAAAAGAAAAGGTTAAAATGTGTAATGTAGCTGTCATTGCTATTGTGAAGGGCGAGTACTTTCTCGGTTCTAACAAAAGACTTGTTTACACATTGAATTGGGAAACAATTACATTTACATGCTTGGATTGTGAAACACATATCAGCCATCAGAACGTATAGTATGGGCATACTTAATCAGTTTGATGAAATTGATGTGTCAAGCATATTTCATCCCTCTCCTTGTTCTAGTTTCAACAGGGATAGGTACTACAGTATCACTACAAGCAGTCTCAAAATCTCCAGCAAATTCTAGTCAGTCTTTTGCAAAGAAAACATGGCCCCTTTCTGCAGCTTTGAAATGAACCTTACTACTGACCCACATTATCTGAAAGATCTCTCGAACGGAGGCCTTTCTCTCTATTCTACCAAGCTCACAGCTATACTTTGTCGGAACATGGGAAAGGGCTTTCTTGGTGACTGTTCCCAGACCCCAGAATGCTCTTCCTAGAGTGATTAGGCCAACATGGATAGCTGAATGGAACGCCTTAAACCTCAATAAATCTGAAGAGCAAAGTTACTAAATTTCAATGTCTCTGCAAGTGTCCACTTGATTTTGCTTAGAATTGGCTAATTTTTGAAAGAGAGAAGTGAGCACCTGACAGTCCTGTTACCATATTTCTTCCATTGTAACACTCCATTAATTGTAAGATGCACCTTAACTTCATACCACCCCCACCACCCCCACAAATACATGGCACAGCTGTGATTCTAAGGCACACCCCATTTTTGGAGATGTTTAGATAGGAAAATAAGTGTATCTTAGAATAGAAGAAATACAGTATTAACATTTTCACTTCATGCAAAACACCACTGTGTTCCTACGATCAACTGGGGAGGGCCTTCTCTCAGTCCCACCACCCACTCAAGCATGTTTGATGGGAACATGGGAGAGAGCCTTTTCGATGGCTGCTCCCAGATGGCTGAACTCCCTCTCAAGCAGCTGAACTCCCTCTCAAGAGAGGCCAGGATCTCCCCATCTCTGCTGGCCTTCTGAAAGCAGATCAAGACCTTTCTGTGCCAGCAGGCATTTGGGGAAGGATGAGGGGCACGTTGCTGTGGAGGTTATGGGTGGGATTCTGGGAGGAATGGGAGTTTAAAATGTAATTTTGATTGTATTTATTATATCTTATCTGTATTTTAACTTACACCCATGACACAAATATTGAATTCTTTTTAAGTTTTTTATTTTCCCTATTTAAATGTATTGGGTTGTGTCATATAATTGAAAGGTGCTTTGAGTCCCCATGGCAGGAAGGCAGGGTAGAAATAAAGTAAATGTTAAATATAAATAAATAAATAAATTCATCCCTTTGCAGATGTCTTATGTTGGTACATCCACATTTCAACCTAATTCAAAATTATTGTCTCCTTTGGAAATACTAATTTGACAACATTGAGTTAACATTCCCCCACTCCACATCTATGTAGGCAGACTCACCACAATAATATTCTGGGTTCAGGGATTCCCCACTGCGCAGAAACGAGTACAGAAGAAAAGCTTTGTGGTAAACATTCAAGTCCAGACAAGAAGGTGCAACCTCAGGACAGGTGGAAAGATATGTGCCAAATGTTGCCATGGCAATGAACTTCATAAGTTCCACATTTGGGACATGACCAAAACTGCAGTCGTAGGAATAGACTCCTCCAACCTGCATTAAGAAATATGTGCTTTGTTAAAACACTTAAAGAAGGGTAGAAAATTAGCCCCTTGACCTATTGCATTTGTTCACTGCTTGTCTAAAGCCTCCATAATCCCACCACACAGTGGATCTGCAACTATCCAACCATCTGCCCACAACAAACACAGCCAAAGCACCTGAACAAAAGAACAGGCCACTGTCCCACTACGCAGCTGGTTGAGGAGAGTTTCACAGACAGATACATCTGGGACACTGGTCACACCATCAGTAATCACAATAATCCCTACGAAGAAAGAACAATACAACTGTCAGCACTAGGTGGCAAAAAGCAGATCCCTGCCCCCAACCCATGATAAAAAATGAACTATGTTTCAAAGCAGGTTTACAGTCAACAAATAGGATTGAGTAATGGCTATGCTAAGATAAAGAAGAAATGCAATGGTTCAGAGAAATAAAAGCTAAACACATCTTGCCCTGCATATGTGTGTGCAACTTATTTTCAGGATCTGACTGGCTAATCCATTAAAAAATGAAAAAAAAAATGCTTCAAGTCTCTTACTATCAAATTCAATGTTTTGCAACTCTCCAGATCTTAAATAAGGAAAAAGTTTCCCCTGACATTAAGTCAAGTCATGTCCGACTCTGGAGGGTGGTGCTCATATCCATTTCTAAGCCGAAGAGCCAGCATTGTTTGTAGACACCTCCAAGGCCATGTGGCCAGCATGATTGCATGGAGCGCTGTTGCCTTCTCACCGAAGTGGGACCTACTGATCTACTCATATTTGCACGTTTTTGAACTGCTAAGTTGGGAGAAGCTGGGTCTGACAGTGGGAGCTCACCTTGCTCCCTGGATTCAAACTGTCAAACTTTCGGTCAGCAAGTTCAACAGCTCAGCGGTTTAATCCACTGTGCCACCACCAGGATTGTTAAGTACAATCATAAATTTTCTGTAGCTTGTAGTTAGGACATGCTGAGTCAAAGCATTCTATTTACTACATGTGGTTTGTTAACTGCATTCAACCTTGGAAAGAGTCTTCTCACTCCTTCTCCAACTCTCTTGGTTCAACTCTGTAACACTAAAATCGTTTCAAAAGCAACTATCTGTGCTTTCCCTGACAATGCTATCTTGAAAGGGGCCTACAGGCTGACCTGCACTGGAATTTGAGGGCAGCAACTGGAGTGCCAAAATTCCCTGCCGGATCATGCTGACCAGCCCAACATCAGCAGTGACCATGGAGACCCCCAGCTTCCTCCCTGAGGATTCCTGGGTGTCAGAAAGACGATCTTGGTTAAGAGATGGCAAGTCCACCTGAAATAAAAACATAATAATGTTCTCATGAGCCACAAGATAGAATTTTTGTCTGCAAAGTCTAGCCTGCAATTCTTTATCCCACTTCTATTCCTAAACAATAGATCGGCTCCCTCTTTTACATGCCAAACACTCCCAGGCCCAGGTTTCTAAAATGAATACAGGTACATTTGCTTTACAAGCATTGAAAATTTCGAGGGCACACTTCATGATTTTCTCATCTACTGCCTCATCCAAAGTTCTGTTTCTTCTCAAGTTTTCCCATGGGAAGGTATGTGTAAAAGAAAGTTTGTAATCATGGTGCCAAATGTCCCCACACTGGAAATTGTTGAAGATTTATTTGAACTATTATGGCTTATATTTAATCTTTCAGGTTTCTTTGAAGTAGCACATCCACAAGATAGTAACAGAATCAGCAAAAGCAGAAAACTGTTTCCTCCATTAAATTAAACAAACAAATCTCATAATCTGTTCATTTGGAAAATCCTGAGGTCAGCAACTTTTGCAAGCTGCCAATCAGCATGTGCTGACAGAGCTTTAGGCATTGCTCTAGCAACTCTATACACATACATTAGTGTGGTACTAATGGCCCTTTGTTTAAAGAGAAAAATCTGGTGTTTATAAGCAAACTAGCACGGAGAAAGGTAAAGAAAGGACAAGGGAAACCCATTGAATATAGAAGAGAAGGAAGAACAGGAACAGAGAATACACTAGAAAACATGCCATGCAAAACAGTTCTACATATGCCCTCATCCACTCAAAAGAGCAGTTCTGCTATAGAGCCCTGGAAAGAAGTCAAGCTAGCTTTTACTTACTTACTTATTTTATTTATATCCTACTTTTCTCCCACATGGGACTCAAAGTGGTTTAGACTTTATAAATTAACACATTAGCTAAAAAAAATACTAATTTTTTTGGATGCTATACTAGAATATACATACAATATGTGTGTGTATGTGTATGTGTATATATAAGTTTATATAAACACACATGTAACTTACTCATTGGTGAAGTATCTGTCACACACAAGACTTCTCTACGCAGCCCAGTATTGCATTAGCTTTCAACAGGAAGATGAAGTTTCTTATTCTCCAGAGTAATCCAGTCAACACATCCTCTGTATCCCCTTTGATAATTACAAATCAATTGCTCCTTACAGCAAGTGATTTTCACATAACTGATCAAAAGTCAAATATAATCCCTCAGCTCCAAACTACAAGGATGCAGGAGGGCAGCCTCAACACCGATCCAAGTAACTCAAGGATTGCACAAAAGAAATGTGTATGTGGGAAAGCAGGCTAATGAAATTCTTAGAAGACAAATACATCATTTATAAGTGTTTAAAAAAGATATTACCCAAAGACCATCTCTTTCACATTCCCTGTGCATGAGAGTAAATAAGATCATGCTCCTTCATCATCTATGTTTGTTTGGTTGAGCTGCAGGTTCCTGTTATTGACTTATGAACAGCACAAGTAAAAAGGTTACTTACTGGAGCGACATACAGGGAGCATACCACCCCCCCTGCTGTGTCAGCTTCACTGTCTGCTGGTCCACTTCCGAGCACAATTCAAAGTGCTGGTCTTGACCTATAAAGCCCTATATGGTTCCAGCCCAGCTTACCTGTCCGAATGTATTTCCCTCTACGTCCCGCCTCACAGTTTAAGATCGTCCGGGGAAGCCCTGCTCTCAGTCCTGCCAGCCTTGCAAGTGTGCTTGGCAGGGACGAGGGACAGGGCCTTCTCGGCAGTGGCCCCACGCCTGTGGAACTCTCTTCCCATTGAGATCAGATCGGCATCTTCCTTCCTTTTGTTCAGAAAGAAGGTTAAATTGTGGTTCTGGGACCAGGCCTTTGGACAGCAAGTCTCACAACACTTTGGATGTTGAATTGGACTGGAATTAGCTATATTGATTGATGACAATGTTTTTAATGTGGTTTTAACTTAATGTTCTATTTACTGTTTGAACTGTTGTTATATTTGTTTATATTTGTATTATCTTGTGGCATCAAATTGTTGCCGGTGTAAGCCGCTCTGAGTCCCCTCTTGGAAGTTGAGAAGGGCGGGCTAGAAATGTGGAAATAAATAAATAACTAATCCAGAACAGGGGACCTAAAGAGTATGAGAACTTCTATGACTCCTTCAAATGGCAGGAAGCCACTGGGGCTTTCTCACCTGACTTTTGGGCTCATACTGCTGTCGGAGCATCTCAGCTACTTTATTTTCAAAGACACATAATTGTGTATAAACTTGCTGCAGGAATGTCTCTGTATTGGTCTTATCCAGCAGGCAACCCTGGAACAGCACCTGCATCAAACAGAAAGGAAAACCATTACTGTATTCTGTTGTAGAGTGTTATGCAAACAAAATCTCATATAATCTGGATAGTAGGCTGTACCTATTCACTAGCAGAAAAAATTAAAATACTTAAAAATTTAGCACATTTTAACCCCAAATGTAAAAAGAGATATGTTTTAGCATTCTCTCTTAGCACAGCTTCTTTGATAACAAGTTAGTTTTGTGATCTGGACTATACCAAGAGAAATCACAGAAACAAGGTTGGGAATTTGAAGGAAGACCTCCAAAATGTTGTGATTAATTGGCAATATATGCCATATGATATGAAGTCCATTCTGATGGATTTTAGGCTAGAAATGCTCTTGTCCACGGGATATATTTCTATATAGGAGTGGGAATGATAGTCAGCCATGCATTGTTGAACTGCAGTCCCTAAGCATTACTTTTGCTACTCCAAATGTTGAACTGCAACTCCCAGCAGCCCAACGTAGCATAGCCAATCATAAGGAATTGCAGTCCCCCTCATTCACCTGCATTAACAAGGCACATTAGTTTTGTCATATGTGAGCATCAATTTAAGTTTCAACTCCTGCATACATATTAATAGACCCATTTAAAATTATAAGCTCAGTTTAACTCCCTAGAAGACCCCAAACATGAACGGACAAGGAGTCAGAATTCATAAAAGCACAGGGAACAGTGGTGCGTTCTGACTAACTCCACTGAAGTATGAAGCTTAATTTGCAGGATAAGAAGAAATATTTCAAATAATAATATCAGCAATACATTATTAAATTACCTACAGTATAATTGACAGGTATTCATTTGTGACATGCTGAGGTGAGCAAGTTTTCTTTGGAGCAGGAGAACCGCATGTTTGTCCCACCCCCTATTTGGAAGCAGTAAATGGAATTTCATTTTCAGAGGCCTTTAAGCTGCATATTTTCTATTAAACTGAGTTTCACACCCTCCTCCAAACTGGGTCCAAAACAGCAAACAGAGTGAATGGGAGGAAAGAGGAAGTGACAAGAACATCACAAAAAGTGCAGGGGTATGCAAGACTGAAAAAATGGAGCAAGTTGGCCTTTGGGCTCTTCAGTGTTACAAATCTCTGCTCTAGAAGGTTGGAGACTCCATCCCACACAACCATACTGTGGTGTCTTGTAATACCAGTTTTACAAGAAACTGGAGGTTTATATATGACTCTTCCCCCACTATTTACATGAGGCTCTTTGCTATGAAACAGGGTAGCAGATTTTCAGGTGAATAGGTTAAAGAAGCAAAAGGTTTAAGGACTACCTGGTGTGTCTGTAAGCCAATAATGGATGAATATGCTTGAATAGTGACGAAAATCTCAGGTTGGAAGAGGATGTCTGAGCCTGGGATTCGAAAGGGCCTTAACAACCCCACTAAACACCGGGAGAGGGCACAGAACACTTCATCGAAAATTATCTCTCCTGTAGAGTCATCCTGAAAAAGATAAGATTTGAGAGGCAATTAAACTTCTACGAAAGTTGTCAAAGAAAGAGGAATAATCTGTTTCCTAGAAGCATGTCCTCATTTTCATTTGAAGACACCAAGTACTCTTCCTTTCAGGATGTAAATCTAGATATCTAACAATCTTGAATGCCATCAAGAGAGGAAATGGATTGCAGCAGGCTCTTCTCCAATAAAAAAAGATGTTCTCTTTGATTTTTTTGTTTTAAAAAAGAACTTAAAGCAAGGGGAAGAAAGGCAAACAATGTGACAATAATTGGCCATGGTGACTAATAAACTTACCACAATTCCTGTAGAAGGGCTCAGATCCAGTTCAATCACAAAACGGTACTGACGTGCAAAGAAAGTGACTTGCGTAGAAGGCACAAGGAGATATGGTCTGGGCTGTACAGGTTCGTCAGGTTGCCAACTAATAGGCAGTATGCTGAGAACATCCAACTCACTGTCTGATTTTACCTTCAAAAATTGAATATGTAAACAGTCAGAAACAAAAACCAAGTAAAAGTGTAAACAACTCACAGTGTGTTTTCTGATAGAGATATTCAAACAACTGCATTAATCCCAAATAATCATATAGGAGCCCCCGGTGGCACAATAGGTTAAACCCTTGTGCCAGCAGAACTGATAACCAACAGGTTAGAGGTTCGAATCCGGGGAGAGCGGGTTGAGATCCTTCTATCAGCTCCAGCTCCCCATGCGGGGACATGAGAGAAGCCTCCCACAAGAATGGTAAAACATCAAACATCCAGGTGTCCCATGGGCAATGTCCTTGCAGGCTGCTAATTCTCTCACACCAGAAGCAACTTGCAGTTTCTCAAGTCGCTCCTGACATGAAAAGAAAAATTGTACTTCTCTTACTGCAACACCCCACAATTCAGAAACAGGTCATACATTGTTAGGTTTATTCTATCTTTGTACAAAAATGTTAAAACAAAGTTAAACAAATGCCACCAAAACCAAGTAAACCATTAACTTAAAATAATAAAAACACATCTTAAAAGGAGAGATTGGAAAAATGTGTCTTCACGTTCTTCTTGTAAGCAGTGAAGTGAAGAGTGATTTCAAATGTGAGGAGAGTGAGGGAAGAAAATGCTCTCTCTTGTGTGTTTGTGAAGCAGACCTCTGTAAACGAGAGTATGCTTACATGGTTTGGCTTCCTCACCAATTCTGATTCAGGCACTGCACAGATAACCTGGTGCAAACGGTTTAGAAACCAGGCAAGGCGTACATTGCGTGAAATCCGGTAATCCTTTTTCATCAGGAGATAGACTTGGCCAGCCTCCTCTACCTAAAAGACAAAGAGAAAAAGAATGTGCATTTTGAAAGCCTGGCAGAAATAAAACACCCAGAGAACTGCATATACCGCATTAGGGAAATCATTATGGCTCCAAGTGATACTGACACGTTTCCAGGCTTCTCCGATTGTGAGATGGGGGATGGGGAAGTAAGCAGAGGTGTAAAAAGGGCTGCTCGCGAGCCAGAGTCTGAGGGGGAATTACAAAGGAAGCGTATTCGGGAAATACTTTGTGCACCAACAGAGGATGAAGATTTCCTTGGGTTTGAAAGGAGTTCTGGGTCTGGGAGTGATATGGAAGAAGAGGAGGAATTAGATTGGACCCGTGTGCAAAACATAAGGGACATCTGTAACCAACCCACCTCTAGTGAGGAGTTTGAGGGGTTCACTGGGGATTGGCAGCCAGGGGATTCTTGGCAGGATCTGAACCCTGACAATCGTTGGCAGAGGTGGAGGGATGGGCACTCAGCTGCAGGTTTGGGTGCAGCTGAGAGTGATGACGAGAAAGTGTGGAGCTCATCAAGCTCTGAGGAAGAACTTTGAGATAAAAGGGGGTTCAGTTTGGACTATACTTTGCAGAAGGCAAAGTGTCTTTATAGGACATAATTCTTTGTGCTGCCAACTTTCAACCTTGGGTCCTGGGTTACAGCTTCGTGTGTTCCTGTACTCCTGTTTCCTCATGATTCCAGCATTCCAGCCTGTTTACCAACGGATTGACCACGGACCGGTTTGACTACGCTTTTGGCTTTTCTGGACTTTGAACTTTAATATCTTTGTGACTGAAACATTTCTTAGTTTTGAAACCACGTTTTTCCTGCTTCTGTGACTGTGTTTTGATACCATTTTGATTTTCAAGCAGTTTGCTTCAGTTTTTGTTTAACCCGGATTATACGGCAGCATTATAATCCGGATTATATTTTTGTTTCTTGTAACAACTTCTTTTTGATGCCAAATCACTCCTGAGACCCTTAGCACTGAAGTTAAGTGCTTTGCAGGTCCATATGCAATAAAGCTGTGTTTGAACCTTCATTTTGTGTCTGGCATTGTTTAAGGCTTCTGGGTCCTGACAAAACCACAGCCCTGAGACTGCAGGACCTGATCGGGCCTGGGTATCCTCCATGCACAGAGTTGTCATAAGGGGAAGCCGATATGATTGAAATTAACAGCAAGTGTTATTTAACAGCATGTAATTCTGAACAAATAAGGATAGAATTATCCTATAAATGAGACATACAAAAAGCTACCTTGAATTGAGCATGCTGTCACATGTAAAGAGGATAAGTATTATGTGCAAACGTCCCTAACGAATAACACTATATATACATTCCTTACAGACATCTCACCCAAAGAAGTAGAACTTTTACTGCAAAGACAAAGCCCAGCGTATGTGGTACAGCTTTTGTAGTGACAAGGAGGGTAAAAATTTGCAATTGAAAAAAAATGCCCCAATATGCCTCCCAAATGATCTCTCAGGCCCCAGGAAGGCCTCAAAATAAGGTGGGAATGTCCTCATAACCCTAAAGGGTATTTAGGGCCAAACATTTAATGTTTTTGCATCATCAGCAGAAAAATGTGTGTCTATGGCTCCTCCACTTCCTGAGAGGTTGGCTAATGTGTTCCCAGAGTCTGCCATAGTTGCACACCCTTATTTTTACAGAGACGGTAGCTTCATAAAGCTGCACACCAACCAATCTCAAGCAGGTTCTTATTCACCAAAATCATTTTGTCTTGTTGTTCAACAGGCAACTTGCCTGTAACTCATGGGCCTCCTGCAAACTCTTGGGAAAGATGGGTCTGGTTGAAAACTGACGAGGCTTGTTTATTTGCTTTTTGGTTTAGATAAGGATTCACTCTGTTTTCATCTGGTATCTCTTATCCAAAATACTTGGAACCAGAGCATACTTGGAACCCTTTGTATCCACAGAATCAAACATCCATGCCTTGAAAATATTTCCCACAAAAAAAAAAAATCCACAAAGCAAACCTTAATTTTACCATATTATATAAGGGACATCATTTAACTATGTTATTGTACATGATGAGGTTTGAGAATCAATGGATTTTGGTATCAACAGGGATCCTGGAAACAAACTCTGGCAGATACCAAGGCCCACAGTAATTGTATATACATAATTAAACTTCTTGGAGTGCAACCATGTAACCCAAGTCCAAACATGAAATTTACAAATGCTTCATATACACATCATAAAGCATAATCTGAAGGTAATTTTACACCTCAGTGTCACCAAACTCTAGTCCTCCAGTTGTTTTGGCCTTCACCCTGCAGAATTCCTGATGATTGATCAAGGCAGCTGAGGCTTCTGGGAGGTGAAGTCCAAAACTTCTGGAGGAAAACAGCTTGGGGATCACTGTTATACACAAACTTTTATATCACTTTGTGCATGAAGCTACTCTTATATACATTGAATTATCAAAGCTAAAGGTATCACTCTCTCAGCCATCCACGTGGGCCATTAGGGGCCATTTCAGGTTTCAGTCACTCAACCCGAACTCAAGTCTGGCAACAGGGTCCCCCACTCGTTGCAAACACTCTTTTCCACAAAAAAAAAAAGGGGGGGGGTCACAATCTTTGCAAAGATGAGATGGATGGCCATCTGTTGGGGGTGCTTTGAATGCAATTTTCCCACTTCTTGGCAGGGGGTTGGACTGGATGGCCCACAAGGTCTTTTCCAACTCTATGATTCTATGATCAGCTTCCAAATGGAGCTTCATAACCTTTGCAAAAGCTCTCATCCAAAAGGGAGATCTCATACATTGTACTAAACCTCCCCTCCAAAACGGGGGTCCCACATGCCTTGCAAAATCTCCCCTCAAACCATGGTTGTGCAACTGATCCAGCAAAGCCAAAAGTGTCACTCCCTCAGCTACCTACATGGGCCATTTCAGAATGTTGGATTTGGGATACTCAACCCATACCCAGGTCTGTCACTTGGGTCCCATGTTCTTTGCAAAGAGCTCCTCTCCAAACCAAGGGTCCCACATGTTTAGAAAGAGCTCCCCTTAAAAATGGTGGTCTCCTCAAATCATATGTGTGCAATTGAACCAATGGGAATGGTGTGTGTGTTGTCTTGGGGGGGGATGTATAGTTTTTAAATGTAGCTTTACTGTACTTCAATTCTGATTATTAACAATAAAGAAAAAGTTAATTTTTCCAATTTTAATATTTATATTCCCATGAATTTGCTCTGTTTGTCTCATATTATGTTTGCTGTTAACCACTATGTGACCCTATATCTAGAGAAAGGCCGGATAAAAACAAAGTAAATAAATAAGCAAATAGAACAAAGGTGTTATTATATCAGTAAACCACATTGACCATTCTGAAGTATTGTGTACTGGGGATACTCAACCTGCACTCAGGTCTGGCACTAGGGCCCCACACCTTTTACAAGAGCTCCCCGCCAAAACAGGGGTTTCATGCCTTTTACAAAACTTTCACTCCAAAATGGGGACCCCACACTCTTTGCAAGAGCTCTCCTCAAACCATGTTTGTGTGATTGAACCAACAAAGCCAAAGGTGTTGTTCTCTCAATTACCAACATGGATCAGATTAGGGTTACTCAATCTTTTCTGCAGTCTGGCACCCCTTCCAGAACTTCCCACAAACCAAGGTTCATGTGATTAAACCAACAAAGCCGAAGATGTCACTATAGGCATCTATACCAGGCAGGGGCAAACTCAGGCCCTTCAGGTGTTTTGGCTGTTAGGAATTGTGGGAGCTGAAGTCCAAAACACCCGGGGGGGGGGGGGCAAAGTTTGCCCATGCCTGATCTATATTGTAGAATTAATGCAGCTGGACACCACACTTTCACTGCCATGGCTCCAGGCAAAGGAGTCAGGGGAGTTGCGGTTTGGTGAAGCACCAGCACTCTTTGGCTGGAGCCACGGTAGTGCAATAGCTTAAACCCCTTGTGCTGGTTGAACTGCTGCCCTAAAGGTCAGTGGTTTAAAGGTTCAAACCCCTTTTTTTTTGGTTGTGTCAGAAGTGACTTGAGAAACTGCAAGTCGCTTCTGGTGTGAGAGAATTGGCCATAGAATCATAGAGTTGGAAGAGACCTCATGGGCCATCCAGTCCACCCCCTGCCAAGAAGCAGGAATATTGCATTCAAAGCACCCCTGACAGATGGCCATCCAGCCTCTGTTTAAAGGCCTCCAAAGAAGGAGCCTCCACCACACTCCGGGGCAGAGAGTTCCACTGCTGAACAGCTCTCACAGTCAGGAAGTTCTTCCTCATGTTCAGATGGAATCTCCTTTCCATCTGCAAGGACGTTGCCCAGGGAAGGCCCGGATGTTTTTACCATCCTTGTGAGAGGCTTCTCTCATGTCCCCGCATGAGGAGCTGGAGCTGATAGAGGGAGCTCATCCATACTCTCCTTTGATTTGAAACTGCGACCTGTTGGTCTTCGGTCCTACCGGCACAGGAGTTTAACCCACTGAGCCCCAGGGGGCTCCAGTGAGATGGGGTGAGCTCCCGCCTGTCAGGTCCAGTTTCCCATGCGGGGACATGAGAGAAGCCTCCCACAGGATGATAACCCATCTAGGAGCCCCCGGTGGCGCAGTGGGTTAAACCGCTGTGCCGACAGGACTGAAGACTGACAGGTCACAGGTTCAAATCTGTGGAGAGGCAGATGAGCACCCTCTATCAGCTCCAGCTCCTCCATTGGGGACATGAGAGAAGCCTCCCACAAGGATGGCAAAACATCAAAACATCCAGGCGTCCCCTGGGCAACGTCCTTGCAGACGGCCAATTCTCTCATACCAGAAGCGACTTGCAGTTTCTCAAGTCGCTCCTGATACAACAAAAAACAAATAAACAAATAACCCATCTGGGCATCCCCTGGGCAATGTCTCTGCTGACAGCCAAATCTCTCACACCAGAAGCGACTTGCAGTTTCTCAAGTCACTTCTGACATGATTGAAAAAAGAGCATGTTTTGGCAGAGAAGGCAAAGACCTTGTAAAACTACACCTCCCATGATTCCATAGCATTGAGCCCTGGCTTTTAGAAGTGTTGTCAAACTGCATTAAGTCTAGAGTGTGTGCACCCTTTCTTCTGGAGGATATTGGCTGTGGGATACTCAACCTGCCCTCAGGCGAGGCTCTGGGGTCCCTCACTCTTGGCAAGGGCTCCCCTCTTTATTTTTCCACAAAGAGGAGACTCGTCTACTAAAGTTATCACACTCGAGCTGAAGGACTATGCAAAGAGTCTGCCTCCCGTTTTGAAATCCCGCGGTTGCCTCCTGCAGAATTCTGAGGCTCGTAGTTTAGGGAAGAGCCTCAGACAGAGAGACCCTGGCTCTCACTCAACTACAGGCCCCAGAATCCTGCAGGAGGCAGCCACAGGGTTTCAGGTGGGAGGCAGACTCTTTGCCCACTCTTTCAGCCAGCTCGCCAGGACTGGGAACCACCCTTCACACACGTGTCTGGCTGCACGTGTGTATGCACACCCTGCAAGGCCTGCAAAGCTTCCCTGCCCCCTCCCACCCATTTCGCCCCGAGCGGCGGCAGGGCAAAGAAGAGTACCTCCGCGTCGGGTCTCTCTGAAGCCGCCATGGCTGGCGCCGCCCTCATCCGGGACCTTCGACCTCCTGAAGTCCCGACCCGGAAGAGGAAACAGCCCTGCAAAGGAACTCCCCCCCAGGCGCGGGAGGGTTTATATCACCGTCGCCATGCAGGTGAGGCGGGAGTGGAGGCTGGGTTGAGGCGCTTAAGGGAGTCGGGTTGTGCCTGGGTGCATCCACATTGTAGAATTAATGCAGTTTGATACCACTTACAGTGTCATGGTTCTGTGCTATGTAGTCCTGGGAATTATAGTGTGTCTTTGCCAGAGTGGTGTAACTGCTATTGAATTTATGGGAGTTTTACTAAATTTTTCGTCTTTGCTGAGGACTGATGGTGTCTTACCAAACTGTCACCCCCATGACAGCTAAAGTGGACTCAAACTGCACTAAATCTACAGTGTAGGCGCACCCCCTTTCTCTGATTGTATCGATAATCACTGGTCACATAATCAAATGGAGGATTTTGACCGTTTTTCATGTCAGGAGCGACTTGACAAACTGCAAGTCGCTTCTGGTGTGAGAGAATTGGCCATCTGCAAGGATGTTGCCCAGGGGACATTGCCTGAATGTTTTACCATCCTTGTGAGAGGCTTCTCGTGTCCCCGCATGAAAAGACAAGAGCTCACCCCACTTCCCGGATTTGAACCGCCAACCTTTCAGTCAGCAGTCCTGCCGGCACAAGGGTTTAACCCACTGCACCACTGGGGGCTCTGATAATGACCAATTGGGAAAACCATAAGCGTTATATCTTTTAAGAAAAGAAATGGTATTCATGTATATTTATACTTGGCAGTTCAGCTGCTAGACTGATTTCCAGGTGACTCTGAACTATTAGCAACAGAGAATATGCCAATGCACTCTATATATATATATGTCTTTTGAACACTAAACAACACTTTTGAAGATCTGTTATATATATATATATATATATATATATATATATATATATATATATATATATATTCATGTCAGGAGCGACTTGACAAACTGCAAGTCGCTCCTGACATGAATGAATATATATATATATATATATAACAGATCTTCAAAAGTGTTATATATATATATATATAACAGATCTTCAAAAGTGTTGTTTAGTGTTCAAAAGACATCTACTCCCATAAATATCTTGTTTTTATTCCATTCTCTCAGGAGACAAAATAATCAAGTAGATTTCTTTAAAATAACATGTTTGTTTTACTCATAACTTCATGTATTTAAATATACAGACATGTTTCTTGTTAGTTTAAACTAAAACATTTCAGTTTGTGTCTTTAACTTTCAGTCTTTATCAGTCTCTTCAACACTATACAGTTCTGTACAACTCTCCTTTATAACGGTCAACTTCCAACTGTCATGTTCAATGGTCATTCCTCAACTGTCATCTTTTTACTGTGTTCCAAACAGTCCCTGACCTGGTCACATTGTCCACAGCCCCTCCCACAACCTCAAGGACATAGAGTTAGGAAAAAACTGCATACCAAAAACACATAATAATAATAATAATAACTACTCCTACTACTACTACTAGGGAAGTGTTGGATGTGTGATCCAGCAAAACAGAGTGACCTTGTTTGCTGTGTACTAATCTTTTTGTGTTTCAAATAATAATAATAATAATAATAATAATAATAATAATAATAATGAAACTGAAATCCAGTCAGAATCTTCAGGACTGACATCAGTATGGAGTTCGGCCTAGACAAATGTGCCGCAATGGCATTAAACAAAAGGAGAATTACTCACAGCAAGGGTATAGAGATGCCAAACGGACAGACTATAAAATGCAATCAGCATGAAGCCTATAAATATCTGGGCATACTACAGTTGGACAATATCAAGCATGGGCATGTGAAAAATGTGGTCAGCAAAAAATACGTCCAAAGGGTCAGAAAAGTTTTGAAGAGCAAATTAAATGGTGGAAATACAATCAAGGCTATCAACACCTGGGCCATCCCCGTCATCAGATACACTGCTGGAATTGTGAACTGGACACACTCAAAGTTGGATGATCTGGACAAAAAAACAAGAAAACTGCTGACAGTCTACTACTCATTACACCCACGTAATGATGTCGACAGACTTTACCTGCCCAGAAAATCAGGAGGCAGAGGGCTTCTGCAAGTGAAACAAACAGCAGAAGAAGAGAAACATACACTGGCAGATTATGTGAATGGCAATCAAGAACCAACATTGATGGAAGTCAATGGTAGAAAACTGCTTCAAATGCAAAAGACAATGAGTAAATACCGCAAAAATACAAGGCAGAGCAGAAGGGAAAACTGGCAAAAGAAGGCTCTCCATGGACAGTTCCTGAGAAAAATTGAGAGCCAAATTGACAAAGAAAAAACATGGATGTGGCTTACAAATGGAACTTTGAAAAAGGAGACAGAGGGCCTGATTCTTGCAGCCCAAGAATGGGCAATTAGAACAAATGCTATCAAAGCCAGAACTGAAAAGTTGATGACAGACCCCAAGTGTAGACTGGCAGACGAAACAATAGATCACATCCTCAGCTGCTGCAAGAAGATTGCACAGACAGACTACAAGCAGAGGCATAATACCATTGCTCAGATGATTCATTGGAACTTGTGCCACAAATACCATCTGCCTGCAACAAAGAACTGGTGGGATCACAAGCCTGAAAAGCTTACAAAAAATAAACACATCAAACTACTCTGGGACTTCTAAATTCAGACTGACAGTTTTGGAGCACAATACTCCTGACCTCACAAATGTGTTTAAAAACCAAGTATGGATCGTCGATGTTGCAATCCCAGGCGGCAGCAGGATTGAAGAGAAACAACTGGAAAAGCTGACACGATATAAGGATTTAAAGATTGAACTGCAAATACTCTGGCACAAGCCAGTAAAAGTGGTCCCAGTGGTGATCGGCACACTGGGTGCAATATCTAAAGACCTTGGTCGGCACTTGAACACAATCAGCGCTGACAAAATTACCATCTGTCAGCAGCAAAAGACCACCCTACTCATATCTGCATGCATTATTTGCCGATACATCACACAGTAGTGGTAGTAGTAGTAGTAAGATGCCTCAGATCCTGACTGATTTAGGAAGTAAAGGAGGGACAGCTCTGGTTAGTACTTGGATAGGAAAGTGCAAATGAATACTGGGTGCTGAGGGCTATATTTTCAGATGAAGTAATTGGCAGACCTCCCTGTGAGTATTCCTTACCGAAGAGAAGCAATATGAAATCAGGTCGCCATAGATGGACAGGCAACTTGAAAGCAATACAGACAAGAGGCTGGAGGACCATTTGTAGCAGCAGGTTGCCTCTATCAGCATAGCTTTGGTTGCACTTATTTTTATAACGTGTGTTTTTGTCATATATATATTAAATGTATATCCTAACTTCATCAACTGGTACATATAAGGGAGGGCAATGATGTAAGTGCAGTAAAAACAATGAAATACAGTAAAACTGATTGCCGTGAATGATATCACCTGTAATTTATTTATGTATTTACATCATTTCTACCCCGATGATGAAAATACAGAATCCAGGCAAGGCAAGTAAAACAAATCTTAAGATTCTGCCAACACTATGATTTTGCCATCAATAAAGTCAGTTTTTAAAGCCCTGTTAATTCCAGATTCAGCAGGTGTGCAAACCAGTTTTATAGGTCAAAAGGCATGCTCAAATAAAAAATGTGTTGTCCTCCCTACAAAAGGTCATTAAAGAAGGAGTTGGCTGGGACTCCTTTTGCAAAACATGGGAGGAGTCACTGTTAATTTTCATTGCCATGTTCCTTGCCAAATGCGTGTTAGATATTGGCAAGACAATGTGTGTATAAATGTGCATTTCCTTTTCACCTCTAGGATGAGTTCAGACATGATATGTTTTAAGACCCATTTATTTGTCTTTTTAGCAGTTGGTGGTATCTGTAGAGCTTTTCTCCAGCACCACATTTCAAATGAGTTGATTTTTTCCTATTGGTTTTTTTCATAATTGAGCTTTCATAATCAGACACAGAAATATAATGGCATACTCTATACTAACTTTACTAGTGATGTGTCTTGACACTTCTGAATCTTGTCTAGCCCTTCTAAGGTCTACAATTCTTATGTCTTGAATGTATTCTCCGTTCTGATTAGTGACTAAATTCATGATGGAAAATTGCAAACTGTTTCAATGTCTACAGTTATGTAAATCATCAGGAGCCTTTATTTTCTTCAGCAGTAAACCTGTCTTTGCATTTTCTCCTTTGACTTTCAGAAGTCATTGTACCAAATCTGCTCTATTCTGCTAGTCGGTTCATGCCATCTGCTTATCTTAAATTGTTCGTGTTCCTTTCCCCAATTTTCACATCTCACACCTCTGAGGGCCCTTTCACACAGCCATATAACCCAGAATATCAAGGCACTCCACTTTTTCTGCTTTGAACTGGAACATATGGCAGATAACCCAGTTCAAAGCAAATATTGTGGGATTTCCTGCCTTGATATTCTGGGTTATATGGCTTTGTGGAAGGGCCCTGAGCCTAATCCTGCTTTAGGTATGATACATTCAGTATACAAGTTCAATAGGTTATAGACTTGCTTGCCTATTTGGGAACTATTCTGTTTCTCTATATTATGTCCAATCATCAGGACAATGAAATATTGGGGTATATCCATTCCTTTAAGAGCAATTTATAGTTTTTCATAATCTACATAATCAAAGGCTTTGCTGAAACCTATAAAGAACAGCTGGTTTTTTTCTGAAAATCTTCGTTGCACTGCATTATACAATGTATTTTTTGCAGTATGATCCCTAATGCCTCTTTTTCTTCTTAACCTAGCTCATACATCTGATATTTCTCATTCCATGTTTGTTGTAGAATTTTGAGGATCACTTTACTTGGATGAGAAATTAATGCAATGATCCTGTGGTTACTACAGGACCATTGGTGTCCCCTTTCTTCAGAATTGAAATGTGTAGAGCATTTCTCATTTTCTGGATATTGGTTTTGTTTTTTCATACTTTGCAGGTTTTAGTTAGAAATATCAATGTGGGTTCCTCCAGGAGAGGAATTTCAGCAGGGTGTGTGGAACCTGGGATGGGCTATTAACAGAGGATTGCTTGCAGATTCTCTGTGCTCATTTAGGCCCCATC